CATTAAGCCCAATTTGGTCTTGGCCCGAGGTGGGCTTTACAACCGGCGACTACTCTAATAGGTGTTTTGTGGGTGGGGAAATAGAATAGGCAGTGAAGGAAATTTGTAGAAGTAAGCGTAATGTGGTAAACTTCAATTAAATTTGTTCACCGCGGCTGCTAGATAGCAACGGCTTAGGAAGCGTAAAGCAAAACATGACAAGAAAAAACAGCATTCTGTTAATAAGAGGGGCTTTAATAAATTTGTGACATGTCAGGAACCAGTAGGAATAATAGCATATGTGCATAGACTGGTTATTAAAGTTTACTCCAGCATTCCACTATAAATCTGCACAGCGTCGTCGAAGCTGCACTAATAAAAACCACAAATCGAATGTGGTTTACCACTATACAATTACTTCAACAACTATCCTTCACTGCCTATCCTAATTCCCCACCCACAAACGTATATTAAAACTGGTCCCGTACGACCGAATGCCGGGGGCTTTGAGTAAAGAAGGTCCGTTAGTTTAACTTCTTTTGGTCTGTTTATTATTTTAATGACAAGATTAAGCGCAAAAGCGCGAGCTCATTTGTTTATTGGGATTATTCCAAGCCTCATATTTGAGCACTGCATGGTACCTAAATAACGCGTTGGATTTGCCTTAGTGAAGAAAAGTGGACGGAATGTTTACCCTCACTTCCTCTTTCTTCCTCTGCTCAATCCTATTTTGGGCCAATTCTAAGCCAACCGCTTGACTGTTCCGGCCTTAAATTGGACCGTGTGTATTCTTAACAAAGTTGACCCCCTTTTTAACACCACCAGTTCCTCGAATGTGTCCGGCGACTATCTCAAGTCAAAATTACAGGACGGTGATTCTCGCACGTCCATTCAGGCGGTCTGCGTAGGTCTTTAACCGGCATGGCAGCGTCCGAGGTTGAGTGAGTACGTCAGCGAAGTATCATGGCGCGCCGAATGTCGAGGCGGACTCAAACAGGGGTGGAGTATACACCAATGTGCAGCCAAGTAGAACACCGGGGGGTGGAGTATTAGCAAATCTGGCACCTGATCATTCACCACTCTTCATCTCCTCCTGTTAATGCACATTCTCCCTGTCCAGTTGAAAAAAAAACTGTCCTACTGGGCTACATTGGAAAGCCATAGTTATGTCAGAATTTGAAATTACACGACAGCGAGGCCGGCTTTGAGGGGAACCGACACTGATTGAAGGACGTCACCCCGGAAGCAATAACGCAACCCTCCAGACGTTGGTTACGCCCTTAAGTCTGCAATGTACCTTCAACAAGTTTGTTGACTAGGCTAGAAAAAGGTATGCTCTTCTGCATACTCCGCTATATACGGAGGATTATAATGGAGCCTTCAGGGCGTACGCATACCCTGAGTAACTTAGCAACCCTGAGAACACTCGGAAATATTAGTGGGACGTCAAAACTTTGGGAATCATCGTACGTTTAAAAACAACAATAGGTAGAGGTCGCTTATATGGCGAAGTCTGGAGACAGCTACCACGCCTAAGACCGGTGGCAGTGCGCTATATTCCAGGGTTCCTGTAGTTATTGTAAAGGGTCCGGTTTATGAATAGGGTTACGGCAAAGGCTCCAGTTGGAGTTAGAACACGGGAATATTAACATCTGTGCTATGGGGTGCCCGCTCAGTCCAATGTCCTCTCGGGGGGGGGGGGGTT